ACGATACGATAATAGAAACAACAAAAGAACGTACAACTGAAATTCACAAATCAACATAAAAACACTACTAAATCATAATAACATAAAGCATCCAAAATCGATCAGGTAACGAGATCATGCAGCTAGCGATCAGTCTAATCATCCAAGTAACCGGGGAATACAATAGATGGAATTAATACCTAAAAATCTCCAACTCGAGACGTAGTACATCGAGCGAAATAATCCAAATAAGGAAACCCTCATGTATATACCATATGTCTCAAATTGTAGATAATTAAATATTAACCCCGATCTATGTATGAAAAGAAACATAACTGGCCTACATCTCACAAGAAATCACACCTAGCCCAGAAACGAGATCATGTAACTAGCCATTCTATAACAGGTCACTGGTCACATCTCACACAGAGCCAATGCTCATATCACCGGATAATTAACTGTTCACAAATCCCCTACGTGCATCCAAACCCGCGAAACGGTTCGGTGAGAGGACTACACGCAATCCGATTTTGTCCTGGTCCGAACTCAAGCAAAACTCAGGTGACGAAACGATTTCACTGACCAAGTGCGAAACAGTTTACTTAGCCCAACAAACTAACCCCAGTGCGAACGGTTCACTGGTTCTAGTCTGGAAGATACATCAACAGTCTTATCCGATCACATGAACCATGACTTCCCCATCCCAACTCTCTTGTATTTTCTAAGTCATCCATAAACCTCATTGAAACACGGATTCACCACCTAAACTCAGTCAACACACTCACACATGTCACTAAGTCTTTTCGTAACGCACGAGACCACTAATTCATAACTATCAACAATTCTCCATCGCAACAAGACATAATAAATCATGTGCAATAATATCATACCATATCAGGTAATTAAATCTGAGAATTTAAATCATTAAATTATTCTAAAATAATCTTCTAAAATAACAAATTTATTTACTTGAAATAATCCTTTTGCAAATTATTCTAAAATAATCTTCTAAAATAACAAATTTATTTACTTGAAATAATCCTTTTGCAAAATAGGTTCCTTTAATTTATTTTCCAAAATAATCCTCCTTTTGCAAAATAGGTTCCTTTAATTTATTTTCCAAAATAATCCCTTTTTCTAAAATAATTTCTTTTCAAGATAAATTCCTTTAAAATTAATATAATCATCTAAAATTGATTCCGCTGTCGAAATAAATTCTTTTAATTTATCATAATTATTCTAAAAATGCTATTTATCATATTATTATTATTTATCTAATACTATTCATCAATAATCCCACGCAGATAATCATATCATAAACTAATATGCAGATAAATCTTTAACAAAATATAAAATTCAGCTCTGAGCAAGAGGATCTTGCCTACGAGGCCAAGAGACCTGCGGATGAGGCGGCGACGCCATTTCTTGCTGTTCGTTATTCGATGACGCGCGCAGCGGATCGACGGTTGACTTGTGGAGCTAGACGGCGACATCGGTGACGGTTCGATGGCGCGGGGATCTCGGCGGACGCGGGTTCGGAGTTTTGTCGTGTGGCACGGGTGAGCCCAGGGGGTGGTGCTTAGGCGGGCGGGTTTATAGGTGACTGGTAGAGCGTGGGGCGTCGGGCGGCTATCGACTCGGGGCGGCTGCAAGGCGGTTCGGGGAGAACGGCGAGTGGTGGCGACAAAGGGTTGGAGGCGGCGGTGCGACAGGAGGGGGCAGCGGTGAGCGCTGGCGAGCTTGCGGTTTGAGGCTGAAGGCGAGCGGTGGCTGAGAAGATGTCGGCTCGGCTGGATTAGGAGGAGATGGCTGCAGGGGGTCGCTGCTGGATGAGGAGGTCGAGGGTGGCGCTGGTGTTGGGTTCGGAGCTCCGCTTGGAGGAGGTTGGGGTAGTGCGGAGGAGAGGGGATTGGCTGTCGGGCCGGAGCGCTGAGTTGCTAAATGGTGGCGGCGAAAACCGAGACTGGGCGGCTGTTTCGCCGGTGAGGAGGCTGAGCTCGGTAGTCGTCGGGGTTGCTGGAGTCAGTGCGGCGACGAAGTCGAGGAAGGGCATGCCGCCAGCGCGGTTGAGAGAGGAAGGCCGGAGGGGGGAGGGCTGGGCTGTCGGGTCCGCTGGGTCGGCGCGACGACGTAGAAGGTATGAGGCGGCTGCGGAAGGCTGGCGAGTCGAGGGCGGGTGGTGTGTGTGGACTGGCGTGAGTTGTCGTAAGGAGGGAGGAGATGGGGTCAGGTGCTGTTCCCTTGGGTTCTTTCGTAGAAAGAGAGGAGAGAGAGAGAGAGAGAGAGAGTAGAGAGAGAGAGAGACGAGAGAGAGAGAGAGGTGGTTGCGTTGCTGGGAGGAATGAGGCAGGGAAAAAATGATGATGTGGGGGAGGAGAGAGAAAAAGAGAGTGCAGAGAGGGTATGGGCGGTGGTTTCGGCTTCGTGGGGTGAAGGAGTGAGAAGGGAGAGAAAAACATATATATTCATATATATATATAAAGAGTATTTAGGGTTTTGAAAATTAATTAAAAATAATTATAATCACAAAAATGTTAAATAATTACGTAAAAATTATCTACACATCAAAACGTACTAGTTGTACTAATATAACATATAATACACAACAGTAGAAATAATACCCCAAATTGTACAATTAAACAAGATTAATTAATAAAAATATAATTTCTTACATTTAAAATTAAATAATTATGAGATAATTCTTCATACAATAAAACGTACCAGTTGTGCTAATACGACAGCTGATACGCGATAATTGAAATAATATAACAATTTATACCAATAATACATAATTAATAATACTACATATTATACGAAATAATACGAATTAATAATAATAATACATCGTAGTGTTAAAAATGATGCGTAATAGTATCGATAATACAACAGATTAATTCTATAAATTTTTACTGTACTAAACTAATTTTATAAATATCAAAACCATTTAATTAACTATAAAACTTGAACTTTAAATCGTAGAAAATTCTAGAAAATCGAAAAAAAATACAAACTCTTTTAAAATTATAATTAAATATTTTAAAATACTAAAAAATTATTTTAACCAGTATCAAAATTTTACGGTCATTACATTTGTCCTTATTGGTGTACCATCTACCGAGGGTAGAGTGTATCATATTTGACATGTCTTGTATTGGATGAGATTTGGTAATGTGTTGTTTTTTTATTTATTGTTTTATTCATAGGAATTGGAGTTGGGATTTAGCGATTCACAATTTGAGATATGGTATATCCATGAGGGTTTCCTTGTCTGGATTATTTCGCTTGAGCTACTAATTCTCGTGTTGTGGATTTCTAAATCACAATTTCCTCTTAATTCAGGATTGATGTTTTATATATTTATATATACTAATTTATATTTTTCTACACCTACCCCCTCCCCTTGGGGGCAGTGAAGATGTTCTCACTAACGCTTTGATGCTCGTTGTTTTCCCTCTTTTCAGGTAACGAGTTAGGCATACGGAGAGTCGCAGGTTGATGGAGACTCAGTTTAGCTTAGCATCAATTATTTATATTAGTAGTTTATTTGTGCTCCACAGTAGTTATGGTTTATTTTTAGACATTAGAGTTGTATTTCATTTTAGAAGGCTGTGTGTCTTAGTACTATTTCAGTTGACTCTTATGTGTTTTGGACATCATTTGTACTTTATTTATTTCAGTTGGAACATGATAATAATTATTTTAATATCTCCTTACTTTATCATGTACATTGCATTTTTCTCATTATTTTATCTGCTTTGTACCTACACTTGTTTATTGTTGATTCCACTAGAGAGATAACGCGTGTTGCACAGTGTGTGGTGCATGACATGTTTGATATCTTTGGGTTTACCTAGGATTGTAGCATTGTGTGAAACCATAGACGTCACACACTAGAGGCATGTTTATAATTCAAACATTTCATTATTCAAGCTTAAACCATGCTATGCCTCAGTTTATAATCTTAGAAAAAAGATACATATTTATTTACTTTCCTCCGACAAATAAGGACATTGAGTGGAAAAATAGAAACATTAGAAAAATAAATCAATTTGTAAAAAAATAGAAAAGAATAGGAGCAATTTTGTTCCAAAATCTTAATCCCCTCTCACTGATTACTACCCGGATTTTAAAGGTTGAGGTAGCGTGGGTTTCAATTAGTCCTCTTTCTGGGTGTTAATCAGTCCCTTCTTAAAAATAATACCAATCAGATAAACAATAAATATGATATAAAAATAGTGGTTCAGACTATTTTAAAATAGTCCCTAGACCATTTAGAAAATAAACATGACCTAATTAACTTATAAGGAGCCAAAACTAAGTGGTTGCCAAACATTATGCTCCTAATTAGGGGTGAGCACGGTTCGTTTCGGGTCGGTTTTTACCAAAATTTGAACAACCGAACCGAACCACCTATAATTCAAAACCGAACCGAACCATTGCAAATCGGTTCGGTGCGGTTCGGTTCGGTTTGTTCGGTTCTAACTTCATCAAGTATAACTTCACTTCAATTTATCTTTTATATATTCTTATTACCCTAGCCAGCATGTATTTATTTTTTAACTTCACTTCAATTTATTATTCTTGTTCATGTATGTATACTGTTTTTAAGTGAAGTAACTTGTCCTTTTGGATTAAATACTAAACTCTGACGTTGTAATTTTTTAGTAACGGACTTGCTTTGTCTTTGGGTAAACGGGTAAACGGGTATGGTTTGAGGCAAGAGAATATATTCGGTTGGTTCGGGTCGGGTCGGTTTGAAAAATTGTCAACCCAATCCGAAACCGTCTTACTCATAAAACCGTTCTTTTCGGGTCGGTTCGGGTCGGTTCGATCAGTTTTTTCGGTTTGAACCGAACCGTGCTCACCCCTACCCCTAATCAACAATCCTCAACCAATATCCAATAGCCTCCTCAGAGGCTGTATACGCAATCCGCTGACAACCTTTCACCTGTGCAAGTGCCATCATATATTAAGGCCCACTTAGTTTTTAAGCGGTCCTAGATCAGACCCGATTAATCGCTCGTCTTTGTTCGCACTTTTTAAACCATATAAATCAAGCCCACTCCCCTTGCTCTTATTTCCTCCTCTCTTCAGCCGAGCTTACCTCCGTCGATTTCAATGGCGAAGACCAAATCCGATCCTTCGAAGGTAAAGAACAAGAAGAAGAAGACGAAGAGTCTCCTCTCAGGCCCCGCCGCCGCCGCCATGAAATCCTCAAAGCAGCAAGCCAAGCCCAACCCTTTCGACTCCATCTGGACTCGTCAGAAGTTCGACGTCCTCGGAAAAAAGCGCAAGGGAGAAGAACGCCGTGTTGGACTCGCGCGATTCCTCGCAATCGAAAAGGTGAGCTTTTTGAAACTGAGACTCATCCCAATCTGATTCAGTTTCTAGGGTTAGGGTTTCTATAATGGAATGAATGCTTTCAACAGAGGAAGAAGACTTTACAGAAGGAATATGAGCAGAGTACGAAGTCTTCTGTGTTTGTTGACAAGCGAATTGGCGAGAAAGACGATACCTTGCAAGAATTCGACAAGGCTGTCCTCCGGCTGCAGCGAGAGCGCCAGGTATTACTTTTATTATTATCATTGTTTCCATCTTACAGGCATTGTCATTTTTTTGTTAATCTTGTCTGACATAAAATCGGATTACAATTGTCTATTGTGCTAAAATCATGAGTCCTTTGGAACCACTGCTCTTTAATTTTCAGGTTATCTTTCACAGAATTATTGTACTTTTATCAGTTTTATGTTGCTCTTTGGTGGCTATGATAGTGTTTCATTTTGAGCCATTTGCTTGCAGTATTTAGCTGTTTGATTTGGAGAGTTGAGAGAGCCCTTATTTAATGAACATCACTTAATGGATATTGATTTGCTTTAGTGCCTAGTGTAGTTTGTCCCTCTTTGGAAAAAGGAAAAAAGACACTGTTGTTCTGCCTATACTTTATCTTGATAATCATTTATCTTTTAATTTTATGCGTGAAACTGTAGAAGAAATTTATGCATATCGTTTATCTGTGCATTTATCGATGAATTCAGCCTTGATGGTTTCATTGACATTTTTCTCTCTCTTTCAAAATTTCAACTTTTATGAACTCATAATTGAAGTCTAAGATTTGTTATATTTGTACAGTTAAAATTAAGAAAAGGTGGGAAGTATAATTTGGATGATGGTGACGACCATGGCTCTGAATTCTATGAACCCTTTTCTCTTCAAGAAAAGGATGATTTTGATGAAGATGTACCTCTTAATGATGATGATGCATTATTTGGGAGCTTGAGTATGTATTCTATTTCTTGTGAAACATGTTATTCAGTTTTTCTTGTATGGTAGTTGGTTGTTGATTCAATTGTTTTTGTTCGCATTAGCTGTTGAGAATCATTATATACCAGATATATTGCTATCATGGAAATATAATGAGTCACACTTCAAGTATGTTGGTTATTTGTCACTTGCATAAATTAAAATTTCACTCATATCGCTCCTTTAATGTGGCAACATGTCAAACACATCATCACGATAAATTATCTTTACACTCATCACACAATTGGTGAACACCCCAGAAAGTCTTTGGGACATGCATATGAATCAACAAGGTGCGAGCAGTATCATTACGGTTTTTCCACTCAATCCTTTCCTATTGATATAACTTTTATGGTGATAAATACAATCGACAAACCAATTAAAACTGTCCATGCTGTTCAAATACTGGATTCTGGCACCATATAGTAGAGCTATTCAGATTATGTAAAAGAATCAATATATAACTCTCTGGATTCCTCCATTAGTCTATTCATTATAAGGTGGGTCCTCCTACCTTTTCAAGCCCCTATGTGACTACCATTCAACAGTATTTAACAATTTATATTATTACCTTCTGCTACTATAGAATATACTTCCCATTGTTTTATGTCCTTTTTTGTTGTCTTTTTTGATTACTTAGTCATCAAACTGTTTGGTACATCTTTAAGTCTACTAAAACTTCTGTTAACTAAAGCAGTCACTTTTAACCTAAAATACCCGATATCTCCTCTCTGTGTTCCTTGTGTAATTGATGCTTGTGCTGATATTCATGTATTGATTCTCAAAAGAAAGGATATTATCTGTTAGGAAATAATCTTATTTAAACCCATAGAAACTGAATGATGTTGCCCTTTGCTCGATCCTTGATTCTGAAAGTGCTCTGATGCCAATTGAAAACACCCTAATACCACTAGGAAAGAACCCTAGAGGGGGATGAATAGGGTTTATGCTAATTTAATCCGATTTATGCCAAATTAAAACTAATTGACAAGTTATCCTAGCAAATATGATATGCAATGAGTTATTAGCAAGGATAAGTAATATAAACAAGGGTGAAACAAGATAAACAAAAGATACAATTGTGATAGAGCAATGTAAACAATGCAAACACACAATATGATCATGGAGTTCGGACCTTCCGTCCTACGTCTCCGCTCCTCACTCCCGGGGAGAAATCCACTATCACACCGGGTTTTCAAAGATCACCCGAAAACGTTTACACCACATAATATCGGTTTTCAACGCTCACCGATTAACGTTCATAATCTCATAACGTCACTACACTATCACCTCAAGTGTTGATCTCTAGCCCGTGTCTTCCTCAAGTGTTAGGAATTATAACTTTTCTTTAGGCATTACCACCTACCCCACTCCTTTTGGGACGACCCTATCTCTCATCACACACTCTTCTTGGTGTACTAGTGTATTACAAAGTGAATCTCATAATTATAGCTCACAACAAATGATTTGTTCTCTAATACAAGACGAGAACTCAATTAAGCACAACTCAAAGTTATAATCTCTCACAACCCCAATTATACTATGTATGAAAATAGTAAAAGCTCAAGTGGGTGTGCGTAACAATGAGATTTAATAAAACAAACTAAACTCAAATAAATCTAACTTTAAGGAAATGAAAAACAATCAAATAAATAGCTAGATAAGAGTTTATAAAAACTTCTCTATAGATCAAGAGAGAGAGGGAGAAGAGTTGGATGCTCAAACACAATTGATGATCTTCCTCGAGCTCTTGTGAAAATTACTTCACAAACAAAACTCTTAAACACTCTTTTAAACAAACACAAAACACCTTTACACTTGTTTTAAACAATTCTCTTTACTGAATGAAACTGAGGATATGTGAGGGTATTTATTGGAACTCCAAAGCCAAGAGAAAACAAAGCCAAGAGAAAACAAGGCAAAAAGATCAAAAATCTAAATCTGTAAAAGGCTAAAAAAATTAGCCATTACAGCATTAGTCGACTGACGGTTTTCATCAGTCGACTGATGAGCTGACTGTTAGAGGCATTTTTTAGCTCATCAGTCGACTGACGGACTTTATCAGTCGACTGATGACCTCATCAGTCGGACCTCATTAGTCAACTGATCGGTCGACTGATTTTATCAGTTGATTGATCAGTCGACTGATAAAAGATATACAGCCTGTTTAAAGCAGAAATCTGATTTTTAAACTGTCTTAAAAAATATCAAACAAATTCAGAAAAATGTAAAATTTTGAAAAATGATTGTAGACGTGATAATACACATGTTACAAAAATTGGTTATCAAAAAGCACCTCCCAAATGTGAAAACTCTTTATTTTTTAAAATAGTCCAAAACATGAAAATGAAACACACTTGTTTTGACATTTTGACTAAACCATGTTTTAAAACTTTATAAACTGATTTTATAGACTTAATAAAATATGTATAAACTGATATTAAAGTCTATAAGTTAATAAAATAATATTTTATCAAAAACACCTATATTTTGATAAAATCAACAAATACGTGTGTGTGATTAATATGAGCTTAAAGTATTAACACACTAAATAAAACCTAAAACTAGATATACCCAAGCTTGTGATCTTCAATGAAGCTCTTCTTGGTACACTTTACGGATGAAGCTTGAACTTGGATCTTTAACTTGAATTGCATTATTTCACTCCACAATTTCGCCAAACTCCATTGGATATGATCATGAATGCACAATTTCATCCTTCCTCCAACATATTGTTTGTCTAGAATAGATACAAAATACAAACACTAGACAAACAACATTAGATGTAAATTGTTTGTAAATCATCATCAAAACAAAAGGACCCAACAATCTCCCCCTTTTTGATGATGACAAATAATTTATAAAAAGATATATATGCATGAAAGGAATTAAATATACAAATTATAATTATCATGCATATAAACAAAAAAAATATACTCATAATATTTCTCCTCCTTTGACAACATCAAAAAGGGGAAAACAAAAGAATGAAGAGAAAGCCCCCTACAAATAAGCACGATGAGTATAAAACAAATATAGGGATTGCTCCCTCTATCAAAATGCCATATAGAATATATACAATAAAAGATCATGGTAAATATGTGAGTACGCATAAAAAATATGCTAAATATCACTCACATACAAGAGGACAATGAGAATACTTATGAATATATCAATATGAAAATAGTGTCTCATTACTCAAACATAAAAACAATGTATAAAATAGATTTATAAAATCAAAAGAAAGAAGAACATGAGTATCATGAAAAAAGTTTTCAAATGAAAACAAAAAATAGATTTATAAAATCAAAAGAAAGAAGAACATGAGTATCATGAAAAAAGTTTTCAAATGAAAACAAATCACTCAAATGAGAAAAGAAAGAAGAACATGAGTATCATGAAAAAAGTTTTCAAATGAAAACAAATCACTCAAATGAGATCACAAATCACAAGTAAATCACATAAGAAAGAAACCAATATCCAAATGGCAAGAGAGGCAACCATATCAAGCTCTTAAACTTGTTTCAATCCAAATAAACATTTTAGCACCCGGTAAACAAGATTTGAGAATAAACACCCAATAAACCCGGTGGGTTATATAAACATAAACCTCTCATAAAAATCAAAACTAATAATCATGAAAACATAAGAATTGATCAAAGAGAAATTGTTTTCATATAAAAAATTCAAAACATAATTTTCAAAACCAAGACATGAAAGATGAAAAATAATAAAGTTCTTGGTTTAAAAAGATTTTAGCACCCAAGCATTCTTGGTGTCGGATTGGTTAGGGACATGACCCTTATCATTTAAGCTCAAAACCCTTGGGTTATGAACCCATTTGGGCGTATTTAGTGCACGAACACGATCAAAACAAAAATTGTGTAAATGACCTTTCCGATTGCAATAAGTGCAATGAAAGAGACCCATTTGATTTTGTTAACCAAGTGACGGTGCACGAGAATCATTTGCAAACATAGATGATCTTTTAAGATTATTTTGTAAATGAGAAACATTGTAAAACAAACGTGGTTTATTTGAAAATTTTGGCAAGTTTGAATATTTTCTCAAATCAAAACAAAACTTTGCCAAATGCCAAAACTACTACAAAAATTATATTTAAACACATTTAGCATGCTTGTGATGAACTTTATAAGTATGAGAATGTGAATGTGTACGTGTATGTGTACATGAAGATGAAGCTACATGAGATGCACAAGAAGAATTAATATGAACCTTAGTGGGTTTATGCGCATCATAGCAAAATCTAGTAAGATGGCATTTACGATCGCAATTTGTGCATTTGTAGACTTTGCTATATATGTGTGCATAATGATTGGATGATTTTGACTTAGACTTAGCACACATATCCATAAACTTCTTATGATTATTAACGCATATTTTTAAAGTTGAATCTAAAGATGAAATGCCTTTATTCACAAGATTCAAATCTTCATTATTAGGCACATATACATTTTTATTAGAAGTAGAACATATATCATACTCCTTTTAAAAGTACGAGTTGGGGAAAATCTTTTTATGATCAATATTACCCTTATCTTCTTTGAATTTATAATTAAATGATTTATCCTATCCATAATGAGACTTAACATGTTATTGGATAAAGAAGATACATTTGATATAATTTAAATTTTTTACTTATTACATTTTGCAGAGAAATCTAAGAAAATATATGTTAGCCAGTACCTAAAAGTTTTTGGACCTTGTAAAAAATATCCTCCAAGTTTTTAAAATTACAAAAACACCCCTACAAACTCAAAATTTATTAAAACATCCTAAAAATTATAAATTTTATTTATTTCAATTCAGTGAGAAATCTAAAAAATATATTCTAGCTAAAAAATACAAGTTTTTAACATTGGAGAAAGTATCTTATAAGTTCTGAAAAAATACAAAAACACTCCTAAAAATTTAAAATTTTTACTCCTAAAACATTTAAAATTAGTTAAGAACACCTTGAAAATTTCAAACCTATAAACACATTAAAAACCTACAAATAACAAAAACAACCCCCAAAAATTTATGAAATTTGTAATAAACACTAAACTTTTTATAAATTGCAAGATAAAACCCTCAAGATTGTAAAATTTATAAAAATCCTAATAATTTTTAACCTAACAGTACATTAAAAATATAGAAGTTATAAATATCCCCTGCATAATTTATAATTTATAAAAAACACCCTTAAAGTTTCAAAAATTACAAACAAACACTTAAAATTCAAAATTTATAAAAAACTCTCTAAGAATTTTAAACTCATTAGTAAATTGAAAATATAGGAATTATAAATAGTCTATAAATAATTTATAATATGTAGAAAATACCTATTAGTTTAAAAAATTACAAAAAACCCTTAATATTCATAAATTACAAAAATTACCTTTTAGTCTATAAACAAACTCATTGTTTGAGATAAGATTTAATAGGGACCTTGCATCAAAGGAATTTTTTTGTATTTAATGTACATGGCAAAATACATCATAATCTCACTGCTCTAATTACGTAAGGAAATAATTCTTCATACATTCAGTTTTACTTCTATGGTACGGAGAATGAGCTATAAAATTGATTGAGAATATTAGATAATATAAATAGGAGTGAATCACAACTAAAAGTTAATGTGAATATGAGTTAAACCACAACTAAAAGTTTAATGAACATATCGCAAGTAAATTCATATGCAAAATTCCTTTGCAAATTAAATGGTCACTCATCTTTTAAAGATTTTAAGATACTAATAAACAAAGATATAGTACTAGACCAATGTGTTTATAACTCACAAATAGTAGATCACGTGGCGATAGTCTGGGTTGAAGGAAACAATGACAATATTTTATTTGAAAGAGAGATTATTGTGTTGATGATCAATCCCGCAAAAATTTTATTTTCTCATTTTTTATTCTATTTTTATCAATCCACGTGCATTGCACGTGCAATCCAACTAGTAGTCATTTATAAAAGAAGCAATATCATTTTTTATGTTCTCTACTTCTAACATAGTATTATCTTTTTCATGAGTTATCTTAGCAACATTTGAAATTAAGGAAACATGATCCAATTTTAATTTCTCATTATTTTCTTTGAGGATCATATTTTCATTGGAAATAGTATTAAACTTAGAAGCTAATAACTCATGATCGGATTTTAATGCAACATACTTGCTTTTTAAATCTAAAAAGATATGATACAATTTGTTGTAGGCATGCAATAATTTTTCGAAAGCACAAGCAAGTTCATCACTAGATAAATCATTAATGGATTCGAACTCGCAAACCTCACTAGGGTTATCGCCTAGTGCCCGTGTGCATGATGCTCCAATGGAACTTGAAGAGGAAGCCTCCAAAGCTTGTCGGATCCCTTCAAGTTCTCTTGATGTGCTTTAATGAATTTTCATAAAGTGTAAGCATTATCAAAATGAACAAACTAGTTAGACATAGATGAATCAAAAGCATTTACTAAATATTCTAACAAAATCTTGTTCATTGTAAATAATCTTTTATCATTCTTACTCCACTTGGATTTCTCCAAAGTGGGCACAATATAAGCATCTTTAATGACTTCCCATAAATCGAAAGGTCTAGATCTAACAAATATATTAAATTTAGAACACTATTGATCGTAGGGAAAATTTTCTATTCTAGGAGCAACATTAGGATCATAGCGTAAACAATGTGCACAATGCATATCCATAATTATAATTATACGGAAGCAAGACAAATGCAATCAAAACTAGATTAACACAAATAAGATAACTTGGATCTTTAACTCAAGACGATTAGACCTTAAATCAAATAGCAACAAGCTTTGATACCAATTGAAAGTGCTCTGATACCAATTGAAAACACCCTAATACCATTAGGAAAAATCCTAGAGGGGGATGAATATGGTTTATGCTAATCTAATCCGATTTATGCCAAATTAAAACTAATTGATAAGTTATCCTAGCAAATATGATATGCAATGAGTAATTAGCAAGGATAAGTAATATAAACAAGGGTGAAACAAGATAAACAAAAGCTACAATTGTAATAGGACAATGTAAACAATGCAAACACACAATATGATCATGGAGTTCGGACCTTCCGTTCTATGTCTCCGTTCCCTACTCCCGGGGAGAAATCTACTATCACACCGGGTTTTCAAAGATCACCCGAAAACGTTTACACAACATAATATCGGTTTTCAACGCTCACCGATCAACATTCACAATCTCATAATGTCACTACACTAACTATCACCTCAAGTGTTGGTCTCTAGCCCGTGTCTACCTCAAGTGTTAGGAATTACAATTTCTCTTTAGGCATTATCACCTATCCCACTCCTCTTGAGACGATTCCGTCTCTCACCACACACTCCTCTTGGTATACTAGTGTATTACAAAGTGAACCTCACAATTATAGCTTACAACAAATGATTTGTTCTCTAATACAAGGCGAGAACTCAATTAAGCATGACTCAAAGTTATAATCTCTCACAACCCTAATTATACTATGTATGAAAATAGTAAAAGCTCAAGTGGGTGTGCGTAATAACGAGATTTAATAAAACAAACTAAACTCAAATAAATCTAGCTTTAAGAAAATGAAAAACAAACAAATAAATAGCTAGATAAGAGTTTAGAAAAACTTCTCTATAGATCAAGAGAGAGAGGGAGAAGAGTTGGATGCTCAAACACAATCGATGATCTTCCTCAAGCTCTTGTGACAATTGCTTCACAAACAAAACTCTTAAACACTCTTTTAAACAAACACAAAACACCCTTAAACTTGTTTTAAACAATTTTATTTACTGAATGAAACTGAGGATATGTGGGGGTATTTATAGGAACCCTAAAGTCAAGAGAAAACAAGGCAAAAAGGTTAAAATCCCAAATCTGTAAAAGGCTAAAAATACTAGCCGTTACAGTATCAGTCGACTGACGGCTTTCATCAGTTGATTGATGAGCTGACCGTTAGAGACGTTTTCCAGCTCATCAGTCGACTAACGAACCTTATCAGTCGACTGATGACCTTATCAGTCGACTGGTCAGTCGATCAAAACAAAACATAATTTTTTTGAATTGCAGGCATTTTCTTCAGTCGACTGATCGGTTGACTGATTTCATCAGTTGACTGACCAGTCGACTGATAACAGATATACAGCCTGTTTAAAGCAGAAATCTGATTTTTAAACTGTCTTAAAAAATATCAAACAAATTCAGAAAAATGTAAAGCTTTGGAAAATGATTGTAGACGTGATAATACACATGTTACAAAAATTGGTTTTCAAAAAGCACCTCCCAAATGTGAAAACTCTTCATTTTTCAAAATAGTCCAAAACATAAAAATGAAACACACTTGTTTTGATATTTTGACTAAACTATGTTTTGAAACTTTATAAACTGATTTTATAGACTTAACAAAATATGTATAAACTGATATTAAAGCCTATAAACTAATAAAACAATATTTTATCAAAAACACTTATATTTTGATAAAATCAACAAATACGTGTGTGTGATTAATATGAGCTTAAAGTATTAACACACATAATATAAAACCTAAAACTAGATATACCCAAGCTTGTGATCTTCAATGAAGCTCTTTTTGGTACACTTTACGGATGAAGCTTGAACTTGAATCTTCAACTTGAATTGCATTGCTTCACTCCACAATTCCGCCAACCTCCATTGGATGTGATCGTGCATGCGCAATTCCATCCATCCTCCAACATATTGTTTGCCTAGAATAGATACAAAACACAAACACTATACAAACAATATTAGATGTAAATTGTTTGTAAATCATTATCAAAACAAAAGGACCCAACAGATTCTGTTACCAATTATTATATATTCAGCAAAGGATTTCTTACTCCATCTCATGCTGTAAATTGTGTGCATGTAAATATGCTTTGCAACTATTTGTCTCTGTGGGCCAGAATGAATGTTGAACAGAGCTCTACTAGAAGCATCACGTGGTTTAGAAATCTAAAATTCCCTAGCAAGTCTACAAATATTATGTGTTGTAGGCACTAGTGGCTAAGTGGATGTTAACAGTGGTTATAAAGCAAATTAAAGGTTTTCGAATGCAGATTGATGCCTGCTACAGTTTATTGAATTATCCATTAAAGAGGTGGTTGTTGACATATTGTTATATGCATCGGTGGTTTTACATCATAACCAATGTTACCTAATTTAGTCCGATCACTATTGAATTATGAAAAATTCGTGCGTGCCTATTTATGACATATTCCTTTCAGATAATAAAAAAAAGCTATATTTATTAATTTATTCAATTAGTTCTTTGCTATATTTAAGGATAACATTATCTTTTCCTTAGTAGGCTTACTTTTTGTTTCCAATATTTTTGTGTTTTTAATGTTTGGAGCTTAACTTTGATTGTGTGCCATAATTGGAATTGTATCATGTTTTCTAATTCCTTCTTTTTTGTATGTACAGATGGTTCAACGTCTTCAAAATATATGAATTTGCACACGGATCAACAAGAAATTAGCTTGGCAGATGGAACAGAAAATGTGAGGTTTTATTTACTGAAATAAATAGCTTGTTCCTTTATTAATTAATCTGATCTTCCTATACCACACCTGAAAGATTTGGTATAAAGGGCTTGTTGTTTTTTCTTGTTTTATTATTTAATGTTAACTTCTTTTTGTTTTAATTTATTGTATCTTCTAGTTTGTTGTAGAATATGTTGTGCCCTGCTACCTTGTTTTTTTGCGTTGATTTTGTTTAAGGACCAAACATTTATTAATCTAAGCTATTAGATTCTGCTAATTTATGACCTTTGATAATTTATGCTCTACAGGTACAAATTGCCTTTATTTAGGCTCTGAATTTTCGCATTGTTTAATTATCCATTTACAACAGAGTTTTAATCAAATGAAGTGGACAAGGGTTAGACATATTCAATCATGCTTACATGGGATCCCATGCATTTGCATCAAAAGTTTTTTGCTATTAGTGGTAGGATATAGATAAGGAGAGTTCGGTGATAAATTAAATTTGCAACCTACATGCACATCATGCCTGTTCTGCTTAGCATATCTATAAGGCTGCTAGTGTTAATGCTTGAGATATACCTTAGTATCATTACTTTTGTGTCTACAAAATTGCTACCTAGATCGATGACCTATTATAATAACCATTTGCATATTTGGTTCAGTTAGATTAATCCTTATAATGTCCAGACTATTGCTAGTGAATTGTTTGGTTGTCAAATGTTTCTTTTGTTGGTTCTGTTACTGGCAAAGCCTGTAATATTGGAGCAGAAAGTTTGATTCCGTGGGTGTCTGAGCAAAGAAGCTAGAAAATGAAATTATGATGGAATATGTGCCGAATAGCAGTACAACATCTCTCCTTCTTATAGCTTAAAAGTTAGTACAGTTGAGAACTTGAGACAACATCACGTTTCTTGAAAGAGTTGGCAGTTGTAACCTCCTTGTGCTCAGTAGTGCCAAGTCTCATTTCTATGAAGTCGCTTTGGCAACTCTCAGCCGTATACTCTCTTTTGTGTTCCTTTTCCATCACCAGTCTTCTTCTTCGGCTACTATCTGGTCCTACTCCTTAGCTACCTCTTTGGACATGAGCTTAATGTTCAAGTTCTTGGTTCGATGTGGAATGAACTGGTTGCTTTTGGAGAGTTATGCTGTCAAAGATTTCATTGCCATCTGTCTTTATCTTTTGTTGCCACCAAACCATCCAATCAAAATACAAAAAAGGCCACACACATTCGTCGCTTAAAACCAGCCTCACAAACCTACAAACTGCCATACATCCTCTCAGATTTCCTGCAGCAATAGCAAGCTACAGATAGCAACCTCATCTTTGTACCTAAACAGTCAATATTCCATTAACCAAACACTTCAACGCTGCAATCAGTCAAAACAATGGTCCACTACACATTTGTTACTTTTCACATTGATTGTGGTCTGTCTCTTGACATCAATTCTTGAGAAGAAATAGTCTTTCCTTTCCTTTATCTCTTCAAGGGCTCTCAAGCAGAATTTTTGCATGTCATATGTATTTAGTATCTCAAGAGAAACTTTCAAGAAACAGATACCTCTTAGTAGAGTTAAATTGTAATCATTTGCATATTTAATGTAATGACACTTTAAACTGATTTATTACATGGCAGTCTTGATTAAAAGTTGGTGCCTCAAATCCCAGTATTTGGTGCATGTGTATTCTATTGAAGTAACAGACTAATCTGTAACTAATTAAGATGTTCAGAGTTGAATGATGAGGAAATAAAAGTGGGTGATAAGGTTTATTGAAAGTGGGAATTTCTTTTAATTTTCTTAAAAAGCTTGTTTCTGCACCTCATATTCAATCAATGCTGGGTGAAATGAAGTCCATTTTCTAACTGTTTCAAAATCTGTTTTCATCAATATTAAAACTGTTTGTGTCACCTAGTTGGACTGTGGTGAAATCCCAAACACAAGTTGTATATAGGCTGTAAATCTATCTGAAACAATTTTGTTTGCCCTGGTTCATTGCTTAAAAGTCCACCAATAAGTAAAAATGAGCAACTGTCATGACTACTAACAAAATTGCTATCCCTTTGACGGTTCCAATTGTTCAGTATTGAGTGGTTTGGTCTGTTTTATGGCCAGTAGAGGTCTGTAAAATTCCCAGTACAGAAGGCGATAAAATTTGACGTGCATATTATATCAGACCCTAACAATCAACTCGTACTTCATTGTTTATTGTATTGTAATATGTTTGGAGAGTACTAAATCGAAGGAACAATGTGGTGCACACTGTTTCATTCTGGTGTTTGGCTTAGAAGGGATTCACCCCTACATAGCCATGCAAAAGAGTGCATATACGTAGATCAAAGTAACTCTTTAATAGCTAACCGATTGGAACCATGAGTAGATCAACACATGAAATTTGTAAAGACAGTAGATCTGAGACATTAGCAGCTACAATGTCTTTTGTATGCATTGGTATGTGTGCCTATACATGAACATCTTTATGTGTGTGCATGTTGTTTATGTGTATGCATGATGCATATATGTAAATAGAGGGAGAGGGAGTGCGCACTGAGTTCGTCATGATATCCTTGCCATTTTTGGATAATGATCATAATGGTTGAAAAATTCCCACCAAAAAGCTATTGTGAAATGAATATTTTTTCTATTATTGGACATATACAACCCTTGACCTCTGGGAAACAAGTGTCAAAACCACAGTTGACCATCCTTCTGCACATACTTTTGTGTGTTCTTGAATGCCAGCCAAAAGAGATATTTTGCTCTAGGCCTATTTCCTCATGAAAAAGCATGTATTTTTTTACAAAAATACATGCTTTTTCATGACCTTTTTTAGTTTCTGAACCTCAACATTTATCATGTAATTCTCTTTTTAATTGCATTTCTGATCTTTCTTCATGCTACCAACATAACACTTCATGTTTGTTTTATTACTCGGTTGATATTTCTTATTTGTTTTTGGAAATTCTAATTTGTAATTTGCAGGTTCACAAAACCAAGAAGCAAGTGATGTCAGAGATTATTTTTAAGAGCAAGTTCTACAAGGTAGCATCTCTTCCCTGTCTTGATCTGAGTTGATCTGTCTCAATTGATTTAAGCTGATTAGAATTTCTTGCAATCAACGACTAGCTGCTTATTTTTTTCCACAATACCTCAGTTGATGCCAAATGTATCAGTGTATAAGCATATAGACATTCTCATAAATATTTTACCATTGACGAAATGTGAAACTTATGTTTAGTAAATAAATTATATGCACCCTAATTTTTTTAGTATCAGCTGCGAAATCTCTTACACGATGGATCTGTCCAGTATCCCAACTTCACTCCAGTGTAGACAGTGAAAAAACCTTGAATTTAGAAAAAGCATAAACTCCGTAGTTTCTTTACTTCTCATTATAATTGTGAGCACGTATTTTCATTTATGTGAGAGTGAGTATTTCCATACTGATTTCACTGGACTTCAATGCTTTACGAGGAAGGCAATTGACAAAATGTCTTTTAATCCTATATGAATTAACATCTCACTGTTTTACAATGTAGTTTTTTTAATGCCTGATTTTGTACTTCTATACATGCTGGCATTTTGTTATTTCTTTTCCAATGTATGATTAATATACCTGGGGAACACAAATTTTCTGTACGTTAGTTATTATCATTTCATGGGAGATACAAATCATGTTAGAGAGTCTATAGCGCATTAAAAAAAATACAAAAGTTGTATAAAAGACAAAACAAATGCGATTACCGATAGATCAGAGATTATTTTTGAAGAGCAAGTTCTGCAAGGTAGCAGCTGGTACGTGTCTTGATTTGGGTCGTTCCTTCTCAGTTGCATCAATCAGACTAGCTGCATACAATTTCTTGCAATAACTGTTTTTTTTCCTTTTTCTTTTTTTGGCTTTTGTAATAACTGCTGATGGTAACCATGCCAGTGTGTGAGCGTATTTCATAGACTCCATAAATGCTCATCATGGAGGAAATGTGAAACTGGCATCTAGTTAATAAATTAAATATCCCCTTAAATTTGATTAGTATGAACTATGAATTATAGCTCTTTTGCATGATAGAGTTGATTGCACAGTGTTCCAGCTTGACTCAAGTGTATATGGGTAGAAAGCCTTGGATTGAGACAACTGGGAAACTCTTTAGGGTCTCTTACATTTCACTAAAATCATGAGCATGTAATTCTTTCATGTGAGAGTGAGTAGTTACATACTATTTTCATTGGAATTTATTCAATACTTGTAAGGTAATAGGCGATTTATGTGTAACCTCTACATGAAGAAACATCTTGCTGTTTTATTTGTGTAATTTTGTTCAATGATCATTTTCCTATTTATATGCATGCTGGCATTCTCTTCTTCCTTTTCCGTCACATCATTAATATACCTAGCTAACTCAATTTTCTGTAAATAATTATCTCTCCCAGGGAGATACAATGCATGTTAAAAAATGTAAAATGCATTCTGAAGCCGAAAATTCTATATGAGATTCAAAATGGATGTGATTACAGAACGTTAAAATACCCTACAAATCTAGAGTAAATACACATAAGATATTAACTTTTAACACATAGATGATCGTCGATTAAAAGTTGGCCAAAAGGGAATGTTAACTTCTAGTGCGTATTGATATTTGTGAAGACCAGCTAAGTCGGTTGAACTTAAGAAGATGAAGCGGGGAGATAATATCATGAAATTAGTAAAAATAATAGAAGGAAGCATTAGCGTTTATATGCTTAATCTGCCCACCAAAACTCAAAAGAGTTCCAGGTGCTCTTATGTCTCATGTTATAGACATGGGTTTACTTGTAGATGAGGAATTAAAGTATTCAGTCAACTCTTTTCTTTAACACATCGAAGAGTTGATTTTGTTACTCGAATGAACTGATTTTAATATTACTGATGAGATAGTTCAAGTTTTCAGGTAGTGCTTTGTGCAGTTTACTGTGGCAGTATGCCTCGAGTCAATTCACATTGTATTTGGGATATTGTTAATTATTTCCTATCTCTAGTTTTTGATTATGCATATTTCTTCTGACTTATGTACTGGATTCGAATGACTACTTTTGATGTGACTGGATGTTCTTATATCTGGGCATTGAGAAGTTCATCTTTACATTTTTTAAGATGCATATTTTGTGGAAGTACTTCTGCTCATTATTTGACGCAGTAGTGGGTGATTTTGATAATTTTTTGATATCTGACCTGACTTTCAGTAGTGGCTTGAATTGTGATATCTGAGATGGCTTTTAACATGATCCTTCATGCCTTTTAAGTACTTCTTTTGTATATTGATGTTAATAAATGTAATTCTTTAGTTATTTATCTGCTATTGCTTCAGGCCCAGAAAGCAAAGGATAAAGAAGATGATGACCATCTAATGGAAACGTTAGATAAAGATTTCACGTCCTTAGCCCAAAAAGAGGCACTAATGTCTTTAACACAACCAAGTAAGATAAATGCCCTAAAAGCTATTGCAAACAAAAGCAGCACCAGTCAGCCGAGTAAAGGACCATCCAGTTCAGGAGACAAAGAATACTCTAAAAGGGTAAGAGATGTATGACTGATTCTCGATTCTATTTACTTTTACTTTAAATATAATCATTTATCTGTCTTCAATTGTTTGTTCTAATTTGAGCCTTACCCGAAGTATGTATTTGATGGCAACTGTAGATGTTAACTATTTCCTTGTGAATTTTGCTAATTCAGAAATTGATTGCTTGTTTTATGAAGCTGCTCCTTATGGTTTCTCAGAAACCACTGGCGTAAAGAGGGGGCAAATTTCTTTCTTAGGCAATCCTCCTTTTAGAAACTTATTCTTGTTTTTCTGAAATTTTCAACAACATAGTTGGATGGATAAAGCATAAAAAGCTATGTAACTATGGAGCAATTCCTTTGTTTCTTTTGTACACTTTTTTTTCCCGTTCTTCTGAAACAACTGCCTTCGGGACTTCCAGTGGATGCTGAAACATATTTCTGTCTCTCTACATTATTTTTTTTTGGTAGAGCAATATGCTACTACCTATGTTATTTGGGTACTTAAAATCAGAAGCCTTACCGGACCCGTACCCATACCTGTACTGAAACTTCTTGGATGCTTCTTGAATATATGCATATTTTCATTCAAGCATATATTCAATTATATAATACATGTTTTAATTGAAAACAATCTTCATACACTTCTTGGACATATGTTCTACACTTCACATCTATTTCTTATATATTAATCTATGTAAATGAAAAAACAATATTGATCTTATGTAAATTATTAATATATATATATATATATATATATATATATATATATATATATATATTATATATTATATATATATTTATATATATATATATATATATATATATATGAGAAAAATGGGTATACTGGTACAAGCACAAATTTTGTGCTTTGGTAGTGAGGTGTCTCATTCCCATCCACTCATTCAATTGGGTGGACTGCATTCAACCCATGTGAATGTGGCCCCCCATTTAATGAGTGGAGGTAATATGCCATCTCATTACCAAGCACAAATTTTGTGCTTGAGTACAAGGCATACCCATATTCCTCTCTCTCTCTCTCTCTCTCTCTCTCTCTATATATATATATATATATATATATATATATATATATATATATATATATATATATATATATATAGCTGTGTCCTTGTACCCTACCTTTCACAAATTCGTTGTGTCGCGCATTCCGTAACACGTACACATGCAACTTATGCTACTACACTTCTATGAGCACAGTCAAATGCAGAAGTTTCTTTATTTTCTTTTCTAGCAAAGGTTGCAAAGGTTTCTCTGTATTCATGTTAGATGTGGTGCAGTTTTCAGTTCCATCACATTTCTGAAGTCAATAGTTTCTTTTTGATGGTGTGAAAGGTTAGTTTTTATTCATTACCGAATGATCATAAGAAATACAAACTCGAACTCAAAAACTCCCACCTGATAAGTACAAGGACACTTATCAGATACAAAAAACTCCTATATAAGTAAAGCCCTCACAACTATACATAGTATACTCAAATCAAAAATTTCAACACCTCAATCACCTCTGTACACAACATACTAACAGCAGTTGTAATTCTTTTGAAGTCAAAAGCATCTCCACCTGCAATCCATATTGAACATATCATGTTCCCTCTACCTGCAGTCCACAAACAGCAGCATCGGAGAGAAAGTACCCTCTTATTACTCCCAGCTATTATAAGAAACGAATTCAGGAAAGATGCAAAGTTTTCTGCACCATTCTCAATTACTCAATGAGTCAGATGTCTTTTTAGTGGAGCTCAACTTTAATTTTTAGCAAGAATTGAATCTTTATGAATGAAGACTCCTCTGGTGATACACTTCTAAATATAACATCATTTAGTGCAGACCACACCATGTAGACACTAGCAGCTAGAGAAGCTCTCAGAAACTGAGCTTTAACCCCTTTGGCTCTCCATTTTCTCAAAAACTCCTCTGGTGAATCTTACTAAAACTTCACTGATAAATTAGTAGCTGCAGTAGTAATTGGCGATCACATACATGGATTCCATTTAGTTTACATATAAGTTGCTGGTATTAACCTTCGAGGGGTTGCAATTTTTGACCCGACCCACTTACCCGCCCCGACCCCACCCGTTATTAATGGGTATGGGTCAGCGTATAAGGGTTTGGGTCATATATGGGTTGACCCAAACTACCCATTTATTAAACGGGTCAGTTCGGCTCAACCCTGAGCTACGATGTCCGGACACATTAAAAGGCCCCACGAATCCGTGTCCAACACGTGTTGGACGCGGATTCGCTGAGGATTCGTGGCAGATACGGTTCTAAGAAAAAAAACCGTATTCACAATCCAATAACCCATGATTTGAAGTTTATTGCTTATTGGGTTAAAAAACAAATGGTTTTTGAACCCGAAAATCCAATCCATACCCAAAATTTCCTAACAACCTGATCCTCTGCCTATTATTTCTCTTTTCCATCTTCGTCTTTGAACCCTGAAAACCTCTATTCTCAAGATGCTCGATGCGGATTAAAAACGTTCAAAGAGAGCTAGAGAAGCAATTGAGAATACAATTACAAAAAATTCGTGAGTAATTTTGAGTTTTTTCTAACTTTTGCGGTTTTCAGAATTGACTAGTCTCTGACAATTTCTAATTGAGTTAGGATTTTTGTTATTTCTCTTTTTAGTTTCTGTTCTTTCTCTTTTATCTCACTTTTCTACATGTAATAGAGAAATTTGGGATTTGATTAACTAAGTTGATAGTTTGCTTGATTGGGTTCAAAAGTGGTTTGAAGCTAAAAATTTTGCCAGAAATTAGAGAGTTCTTTATTGAAGTTCTGTATACAAATTGCTTGTATAAATTTGGACATGTTTTGATTATGTTTTGAGTGAATGGATTTTAATTTTTCTTTGTTTTGTCAGATTTTTGTAAATGTCTTTCTAAAGATTTGTCATTCTTTTGTCAGATTTTCTTTGTTGTGATCATGTTTCTAACCGAATAATTTGGTTCAGTACTTGTATAATAATTTTCAGTTAATTTGTCAGTGTGATGTTCAATTACATATTCTCGCAGTTTTTTGTATTGTTTATTACATAAATCAAGATATCATGATATACATGTATTGATCACACTAATTCTTCTATCACGATTCTTGGTTTTCATCTTGTCTTCTAATCTTTGAAAGATCATCACCTGCAACATGCATATACAATTAGTTCTTTGTTCATAATATGCATAGTAAAATTAACATACACATGCTGTAGCTATTTTAATTATATGTATGTGTGTGTGTGTGTGTACACAAACATACTAGCCGTGTCCCTGTATCCCAACTTTCATAAATTTGCTGTGTCCGTGTCCGCACCTATATCCATGCAACCTAGAACCTAAGTGACCCATTTACCCATTTATTGACCCGTTCGGGTAACCCACGGTAAATCATTTCATTCATCAAGCGATTCATATGTTACTTCTCTCTGTATCTTCAATTGACTCTCACCTTGTTTGCTATTTTCTCTCTCTTGGACCTCTCTCTCTTTCTCTCTAAAAGGGTCACCTGAACCTCTGCTTGAAGATCTCATCTAATCTGTAGGGTGTTAGATTTGATTGGTAATGTAGATTATATGAGGGTTATCTTGAAGATCTCATTTAATCTCCAGGGTTTAGCTTTGATTAGATCTGCGAGTTTTAGCTTCGATTGGTAATAAACATCGGATCTTTAGCTTCATATTTTGAATTAGTCCCTCAACAATTGAAATTGTGATTAACTGATTATATCCCCCAATTTTAAAGTTATTTTAAAAATTAGTCCCTCACAACTTTGGCATTGCTATTGGATCCCTTCTAGTCTCATAAGGTTTTCCAGTTTAATCCTCCCAGTTTCTACTACTTATTTAATTGGAGGGCCTATTTTGAAACAATTTATTAGAAATGGGGACTTAATCGTAATTTCAGTGATTTGAGTGATCACTTTTGAAACAAATTTAGAATTTAGGGACTTAGTAGCAATTTCAGTGAATTGAGGGATTAATATATATTAAAGATTTAATGGGCTATCATAGAAAAGTAAAAAACCCAATCCTTAACAATGGCTTGAGTTCACGAATGATTTTCCTGTTGATTTATCCTTCCTGCATTTCAATTGTCATAAAAAATGCTCACAACGTTAAGGTTTGTGTCATAAACTTGTTTAAAATGTGAACCTAATTCATGATGGCATAAACTTTTGGCTTACATATGACTGCCCCATAAGAGTTCTGTCCATTTCATATTGACCTTCCAACAATAGAAAAATTGCATACGTTATACGAGCAGCAGCAATATATGGGTTATTCGGTAACTCGAGTTGGGTTGGGTAACCCATTTAATAAATGTGACGGTAACCATGACCTCATCATTATGTGGGTTGGGTCAAAATTGACCCAGACTGATCCGACTCGACCAGTGTGCCACCCCTACTTCCCCTCTTATCTGATGTTGTGTCATATTTGCTTGTACATGTCTCTTTAATTTCTGGATTCGTCATTCCCCTTTCTAGTTTATAGATTTAATTTTTATTCATGTTGTTTTGTAGGAAAAACCTGACACTTATGACAAACTTGTCAAAGAGATGTCATTGGATATGCGTGCTCGTCCATCAGACCGGACAAAGACTCCAGAAGAAATTGCTCAAGAAGAAAGAGAACGACTTGAAACATTAGAGGTAAATTAGCCCCATTTGGAAGTGTCTACTAAACCATTCCAACTCCCTTAAGAATGTATATTTGTTACTCTAATGTTTGTTTTAATTGTAATTCGTAGGAAGAGCGCAGAAAAAGGATGGTTGCTGCTGATGATTCCTCTGTTGAGGACGACAGTGATGGGGAAGATGACTATTTGAGGCCAAATAAAATCAAAGCTCTCTCAGGGGATGACCTTGGCGATTCATTTTCAGTTGAGGAGGAAATAAGAAATAAAAACGGCTGGGTTGATGACATATATGAGAATGAAGCTGCAAGCAATGAAGATGAGGGCAGCACATCATCTGAGGGTTCAGAAAGTGATGCTGATGATCGTGACGGGACTGGCGATGAGGATGGCGATGATGACGATGGTCCAACTTGTCATGAGCCTGGGAATATGTCCTTTAAAGATTGGGAGCAAAGTGGTGATGACGAGCTTGGTCTTGATGCAGAACATGCAGATGATGCTGATGAGAGGCAGCTTCCTAGAAAGAACATAGATTTGGAAGAAATGAAATCTATATGTTATAACAAAACTAGTTTTTCGGAGAAGCATGCTACACCCAAACAAGAGGCTCTTCCCTTTGTAATTGACGCCCCAAACAACTTCAGAGAGTTCTGTTCCTTGCTTGAAAACCGTTCAGATGGAGAAGTAGTTGAGGCTATTAATCGCATCCGTGCATGTAATTCGATAAGGCTATCTGCAAATAACCGTGAGAAAATGCGAGTATGTTTCTTAGCTTTATAAATAGTAGTGCTCATACATTTAATAATAAATTCAAATCGTTTTATAACGAGGTTATTTTAATGACAAAAAAATAAATGTTTTAATCATCATTCTCAAAAGACTGATTATTACTTCATTAACATACTTGATATTCATCTTGCAGGTGTTTTATGGTATTCTTTTGAATTATTATGCAGTCTCGGCAACTCGAAGACCACTAAATGTCAAGATATTGAATTCTCTTGTTAAACCATTGATGGAAATTAGCGTAGAAACTCCATTTTTTGCAGCAATTTGTGCTCGGGAGTGGCTAATAAACATAAGAACAAAACTTTGCAAGGATATAAAGATCCCAGGTCAGATCATTATATATTACAAAGTTGTTTACTCTATATGTATCTGTGAATCTTGTTTCATTTGTTGGATAATTTTAACCCTGCAGAGAAGAGTAGCTGGCCATCTTTGAGGACTCTGCTTCTGTTGAGACTCTGGTCATTAATCTTTCCTTGCTCTGACTTCCGCCATGTTGTTATGACTCCTGCAATCCTCCTGATGTGCGAGTATCTGATGCGCTGTCCTATAATATCTGGCCGGGATGTCGCTGTTGGATCTTTTTTGTGTTCGATGGCGCTTTCTGTGAGTGTGTTTCGAAATATTAATTAATCCTTTTTTAATGATGAATGTTAATTTAGGTTCTTAAAGACCATTCTCGTAAGGACAATCAGCCAAGACTAATTTCAGTTAAATGTGAGAAACAAATGATAGTGGTCTGCCAGCTTACCTTTATTTATCTAACTTAATTGTCATTACATGACTCCCTGTTTCATTCTAGGGACATGTATAATTGAGAGGGAGCATTTATGTTTATTCTGTTGAATGCACCCTATGCTCGGAGATTTATTTATACATGGGTTCATGACTTCTGATAGACTTAATAGTCTATTATTATTGCACTTTTTTTTCTGAAGTGTATTTTTTGATTAAGGGTTATCAAAAGTTAAAATCAATGTGGAATATTTTTTTATGGTCATATAAATTAGAGGCTTAACCAAGGGTATACTAATATGCATTGTCAAGAGAAGCAAAGAAATTGTTGATATGCGCCCTTCAACTTGGTATCTTTAGCTTGGTTTTAATATAAATCATTCTAGAACTTTTTATTGTCAGATTCCAGTATATAAACAATCACTTCAACTTGAGTTGAGTTCAAAGGGTTCTGTGCATGAAATTTAATTTTGATTTTAGGTTAAACACTTTCAAGTCCACAACATTAAATTCAGTTTTATTCTGTGCATATTCTAATCCATGAATTTGGTTTGAGTTCTAGGACATTTTGATATATGAAATTTAGTTTCTGGACATTCTTATTTAATAGAATTTAGTTTCTGGACATTCTTATTTAAAGAGTTTCAGTTTCAGTTTTGTTTCATTTTAAAGACATTACTGTCCATACAATTTTGAAATTGTAATTTATTCAGTTTAAGTGACATTCCGATGCTTAAATTGTAAATTTTTTTTTTCAGTTTAATGATCTTCCAGTCCATAGATTTGGAAATTTGCAATTTATTTAGTCTACAGGTATTTCAATATTTAGAATTTATATTTTATTTTAATTTAGATATTTTCCTAGATATTTTCCGCTCCATAATTTGGTAAATTTTTTTTGTTTAATAATACTTTGGTTCATACATGATCTTTTTTATATAATTTCTTATGGTTTAGAGACATAACGGTCCATAAATACGATGTTTTTGACCAAGTTAAGTCTTAAGTTTTTTTTTTGGTCCATAAAGAATTCATGATCCTTATGGTTTCTTCTAGTGTAGGACTTTGCGGTCCTGTTTGGAATTTGTAATTTGTATAGTTTAGGGGCATTCTAGTATATAAATTTGGAATGTTGCAATTACCTTTTTATCTTTTTCTTTCTTTCTTTCCTTTTTTTTGGTTGAGGGACAATCTAGTGTGTGAAATCAGAGTTTCACAATTTATCCAATTTAGGAAAAATTCCGGTCTGTATTGGTCCTGTTTGGAATTTGTAATTTGTATAGTTTAGGGGCATTCTAGTATATAAATTTGGAATGTTGCAATTACCTTTTTATCTTTTTCTTTCTTTCTTTCCTTTTTTTTGGTTGAGGGACAATCTAGTGTGTGAAATCAGAGTTTCACAATTTATCCAATTTAGGAAAAATTCCGGTCTGTATTGGTCCTGTTTGGAATTTGTAATTTGTATAGTTTAGGGGCATTCTAGTATATAAATTTGGAATGTTGCAATTACCTTTTTATCTTTTTCTTTCTTTCTTTCCTTTTTTTTGGTTGAGGGACAATCTAGTGTGTGAAATCAGAGTTTCACAATTTATCCAATTTAGGAAAAATTCCGGTCTGTAGAATTTGTAAGTTTAGTTAAGGGACATTCTGGTCTATAATTTGCAAAAAAATTTCCTTTTTTTTTATTTAGGGATATTCTGGTCCATAAGAATTCTGATAGACCAATTTAAACAAATTAGTAAGCTAGACGACCTGAAGGAATCCCATAAGCTCGATAAATGTTTAACCAAATTAGCAAGCTAGATTGCCTAATCCCTTAGTGGTGAACCTTTTTATCAAATTAGTAATATATTTGGGCCTGAAAGAATTCTCTAACTGCAATAACCTTTTATAGATTAGTATGCTAGAAAGCCTGAATGAATCCTCTTAGTGCAGTAAGTTATTTTTTAATTAGCATATTGGAGGCCAAATGAAGTGTTCTAGCTGCGATGTATATTTTTGTATAAAATTTGTGTATATTAATGGGTATAAAATTATTGCATTAGAGGGCCCAAGGGAATCCTCAAAAAACATGGTCTTTGACAACTCGAAGCAAACAATGCATAATGCTGACTATGATATACACGTTGAATAATGTGTCCATTGTGTTGAACACGAAATGCCTACAATGAGTACTAAAGGAGAGGTCGACAAGGTTGCAGCAAGCTCCATAGAGTACAATGAGCATGGTGAAAACTGAGCCGAGGTTGCGGCAAACTCAATGGAGATATAAAATTACAGATATCCACAAGTGTGTCAATAATTGGTGGAGGCTTCACAGAATGACTGTAATTTTGAGTTTGCAGCCAGCCAAATGGAGAAATTTTTCTGCAGGAGAGGTGCTACATTATGCTTGATTGAGAATGAGAAAGGGTGTGTGCATTAGGGAGAGGGAGAAAGGATTAGTAAGAGGGGGTTACATGGAGTCGATTCGTTTTTTTGTATTTATGCTTGGTCTAGTGTGGGCTAATATAAGGGGTGTGGTTCTGTGTGCATGCCTTCGTGTTGATACCTTCTTTCCTTTTATTTTTTGTTGCATTCTCTCAGATGATCAGATCATTTGGGTGAGTATGGATTTTTTTTTTCATTTGTTAAATCTCATGATTTTATCAAGTAGTGGGGAGAGGGAGGTATCTTCCAGTTATGATTGGCTGTAGGAAGTGGAGAGAGTAATTTGAGAGATCAGGGATAATTTAGAAAATGTAGCATAATTGGAGAGATTAGGGATAGTTTAGCTGTTTAGGAAATGTAGCAGTGGATGTACTTGCGGTAGGCTTGGATGCATTTTATTTGGTAATACCATTGGCAGTAGGGGTGCATTCGGTACGGATATGACTCAGATATGATACTTACCATATTCACGTCCGCTTACCCATCTCGGATACGGATACGGATACGGATATACCTCGGTGAGGAAAAATCATATCCATATCCGCTAAAATCGGATACGGTTACAGATACATGTGGATATATAAACGGATATGCATGCGGATACAAAACGGATATGAGAAAACTAGATTTGTATTGAGAAAAACATAGTTCATGTGATACAAAAGAGTTCTTTAATATGTTCATTATAACTGGAAAACTAAAATTAGATATCTTGATCATCAAAATTAACTACAAACCCATAATGTAAGAATTAAAACTATCGTAAGAGCATGACTAATATGTATTCAGATATTTCGGATACGGGTCTCTAGATATTTTACTATAAATAACCATATCCGTATCCTAACGGATAAAATTACGGATATTTCGTCGGATATGGATACGGATGCATATTATTTGGTAACACCACTAACAGTATCAAGGAATAGCCTGATTGTGCTGAATATATTCGACTTGGTTTTGATTGGCTCTTATCTTGCATATGTTTGAGCTGAAATTTAATAGGACTTTGTTGTCCTTGAAATATCTACTTTTCTTACTTTCTTTGAGCTTTATGATATGAAGTCAAATTTTCCAGGGATAGGATATACTGACCTATCACTTTGCTATGTTTTTTCTTTCTTTTGAGTGCATCCTTTACCTTCAACACTCGTACTTTATTGAACATATAGGTGGCGAAACAATCTCAGAAGTTCTGTCCTGAGGCTATAAATTTTCTGCAAACCCTTCTGATGTCTAGTTTTCAGTCAGACCGAAAAGCACTACAAAATTCTGCGGTATGTCTCGCAACTTTAATGTTGCTGCATGACCCTTGGACTTTATTCTAGACAATTGACAGTTTATTGATATTCTCAGTATGTAAATGCTAACGTTAAGCACAAGCTTTGGCACTACAGGACCATCTTATGGAGCTAAGGACAGCACATCCCTGGCTACTAATATGTGATCAAGTAAATGAAGTGCATCCTATTGATTTCTTCATTGTCATGGACATGGACGTGGACTCACCCTTTTTTTGTTCTGATAGTTTCAAGTAAGTACTTATTGCTATCTATTAACATTGTTATGTATTCGCTTCCCATAAGCTTTGGTTTTTATACCTTTTTATTTTTTGATGACAGGGCTAGCATTCTTGTAACTGTTCTTGAAACATTAAAAGGATTTATTAACATATATGAAAAATTGAGCGCATTTTCAGAAATATTCTCACCAGTTTCTGAGTTGTTGCATGAAGTGCTAAAGAAAGCGAACTTACCAAGCTTGTTACAAGATAATGTGAGAGATATTATTGATTTGATAAAGATAAAAGTTGATGAACATCAAATGTGGAGGCGACCACTTCTAATGCGGAAACAGAAGCCTGTTCCAATCAAATTAATAAATCCAAAGTTCGAGGAAAGGTATATATTTCTCTTGCCAGTAACTATTTTTCAATATTATGGAGAATCCTTGTACTCATCACCCCTCACCCCTCTCAAGCACACAAACGCACATGCACACACACAAAACAAACAAATATCCCCATCTTTATCAAAATTGGAAGGGAGGAATGAAAAGGCTGAAGATATTTAAGTTTTGAGTTCCTTACCTTCTGATGTTTCCGCAACATCTGTGGCTAGTTGATTCAATTATAATAAATTCTTTGCAGCTTTGTCAAGGGTAGAGATTATGATCCTGATAGAGAAAGGGCAGAGAGAAAGAAACTGAAGAAACTTTTGAAGAGTGAAGCCAAGGGTGCCATAAGGGAGCTACGTAAGGATAATCACTTCATATTTGGATTGAAGGAAAAGGATAGGCTGCAGCAAGAAGACGAACGAGCAGAAAAATACGGTAAGGCAATGGCTTTTCTTCAAGAACAGGAGCATGCCTTCAAATCAGGCCAATTGGGTAAAGGAAGAAAGAGAAAGAGATGAGGCCGGTATAATGTCTTTACGCAGGATTTTGCTACAAAGCTATTGAAGTATGCTGTCTTGAACTTTCCTCATCTGCTTTATTTGAGACGATTATTGTTAGTTCTTTTTAACCAGTAATTTGATCAATTATGCTCGTACTGGTAAATATTGTTGTCACTGCTCAGTTTATGTGTGTTTATTTAGGTGAATTAAAATGCTAATTGATTGATGGATCATGTTGATGCTTTGATGCCATACTTCTCCAATGCCTACTTTTAGGGAGTAAGCTGGCTGAAATAAAAATACCAATATGGATTTTCTTCTCTCGATCTCGTCGATTCGAAATTGGAATAAGACTGAAGTCCAATTTGACGCTGTCATCTTTCTTTTTCACTCTCTTCTTGATCTCCTATACTATGGATTAGTATAATTTCGATCATTTTCTTACAAAATTCTTCTTTTCTCTGTCACCAAATTCATTTCACCTCCCTGTTTCATTCCAAGCCCTTACTACCCAAAACCACAATCCAATTTTTGGATATTGATTTTATATTGATTCATGGTACGGTTCCTTATATAGATTGCATAACCACCAGTGCTTGAAACAGAAGAGACCTATGACTAACTGATTTTTTTGAGCTCTTTTAATTTGTTTTATGAATAACTACTGATTTTTGAAGCTCTTTTAATTCGTTTTATGAATAACTGTCTTTTTTAGATTATATTTTTAAATCTGATCATCTTTAACAGGATCAAATTCTGATTAGGTTTTTAAATCAACTTAGTTTATTTTCTATTTTCTTTAGGTGAAAGTGAAAGTTTATATTATGAGTATCCTTAATACTGGTCTTCAAGTTCAAACACACACGGACACGGGCACATAGTACATACACTTTGTTGACGTTGTCCCGGAAATGCTCTCAAGTGTACTATGACCTAAATATTGATTTATTAATCCTTTCCTTGGTAGAGTACATGCAATCTAATCTTTAAATAGTGTACCGCTTATCTATTATCATCATGAACCAAAGCATACCAAGAATCTGGTAATATGTATGTTTCCTAACTAATTGACAAGATGAAAGTTTAGGATGTTGTATTATAGTAAGGTGGACATTTGAAAGGTATATAGTAAGGTGGACATTTGAAAGGTATACTTTCTGATATGGGCTACAGGTACTAGTGTCAATAAATTTAGTGTTACTAGCATCACATAGTTCTTTGTTTTGCAATGGAAAACCTGAAAACTGCTCCCACGAGCTCTATTTTTTGTGTGCAGGGTGGGGGCAGTAGCTTATCAAACAGTCATATATGGGCTAAATGATAAAATGGTTGACTTGTGAAGTCCAGCTCAGAATATTATCTTATCCTTTAAATATTTGCATGTTTGCATTTAATCTATCATGATTTCCTCAATGAGGATTTTTTGTGTATAATTCTGTAAAATTCTTAATGAAACTTGTTTCTATGAATTAATATGGTGTATGATATTATTCTAAGAGACTGTAGTTGCATCTTCAAACTGTTCAAAATTTACAGAGCAAGTAGTTTATCTTAAGTACGTAGACAGTTCCATGCAGGCAGGCTGCTTCTCTTGGTCAGCTCTCAAAGCTCTTTACCTGCGATGCTTGTTGGCTTGTTTGTGAAAATTGGTTGCCTTTTAAACACTTAATTACAATCTTTTGTTCTTTTTCATTTGAAGCTTGTACGTCCTTCGAGTGTGTGCAAGAGATGAAGTTGCGGGAAAGCAGTGAACATCTATAGATCAAGCTGGGTAGATTTGGTTACTTAAGATTTCAGATCATCTTCAAGTCTAAATGTAACTGATTTGCATAAGCTATTAATGAGTTGTACTTACCAGGAACAAATATTCTGGATAAAACGCTGGTTATTGTAATGTTTTTGTTATTCTTGATATGTTATTCTATTCAATGGCCGTTAGGTATATTATTCTGTTTATGCTAAATACTTCTTGGATCTTGCAGGTCTTGGTTTTGTTATGGTCATTTGTTAATCTGATTCCGTCTTAAATATTGTTAACAGTTGTTCTTTTTCCTCAACTCTTGACTGTCCTTTGCATAGCAGTACGTTTTTGTTCTCCTATGAGAATCATTCTCTTGATTTAGTTTTCAAAACAGGCTTAACAGGGTTATCTTTCTCTCTGTAGATCCTGACAACAGCAAAATACAATCGTATACAAGCAAATGCTTACTTTTTTAAGCCCTAGCCGGGAGTAGAAGCTAAATACGGGTTAATAAAGTCGTTTTCTAAATTGAGTTTTACACTGGTATTTGGCTGCAATGAATTTTTGTTTATCGGAATCAATTTTGTATAATTGGATATAGCAAGAACAGATGATTGGCTCTCGTTAAAGACGTTCTTCTTGATTGGGAGAGGGTAAATAATGACTAAGCCTATCTAGTGATGTTGCCTAAAAATGCTACAAGTTTTCGGAGAAATTAATTATTAATGTAGAAAGAGATAATTGAGAGAGCAAAAATCCTAACTTCATTGATTTATTCAGATACTAGAGAGATATATATATAGTCATACAAATAGGGGTATGGTTAACGGGTCACAGCCCATTAACCCAATACCCAATAGACTTAATCTAACACCCCCCCTCAAGCTGGAGCATAAATATCCACCATGCCCAGCTTATCACATATAGTAGAAAACACCTTTGAAGAAGTAGCCTTGGTAAGAATATCAGCAAGTTGTTGTGAGGACGGAGTGAATGTGAGAGATACTATCTTCTTCTCCCAAGCATCTCTGACAAAATTGCAGTCAACTTCAATATGTTTTGTCCTCTCATGAAACACAAGATTCTGTGCAATATAAATGGCAGACTGGTTGTCACAATGCATTGGCATGGGTCCAGACTGAACAAAACCAAGCTCTGTCATAAACTTTCTTAGCCACACCATCTCACAAGCAGTGTGAGCCATTGCTCTATATTCGGCCTCTGCACTAGATCGTGATACTACATCTTGTTTCTTACTTCTCCAAGTCACAAGATTACCTCCAACAAAAGTACAAAATCCCGAGGTTGACTTTCGGTCTCCCATGTCTCCTGCGTAGCCAGCATCAGAGAAAGCCGAAATGTGAGTATGCCCATGCTTCTTATATAACAATCCCTTGCCAGGACAACTTTTGACATATGCCAAAATCTTCAGAGCTGCTGTCCAATGAACCTCTCTAGGTTTGTGCATAAACCTGCTCAGTACACCTACTGCAAAAGTAATATCAGGTCTGGTAACTGTCAAATATATTAGCTTCCCAATTAGTCTCCTATATCGTGCAGCATCATCTAGTAGAGAGGTATCATCACGCCACAAATCAACATTTGCCTCCATTGGAGTGCTTGCAGATTTGCATTCCAAAAGATTTGTTTCTTCTAGTAAATCTAGCACATACTTCCTTTGAGACAACAACAGACCATGTTTTTTATATGCAACTTCAATCCCAAGAAAATACTTTGGCTTTCCCATGTCCTTAGTGACAAAATGACGGTTTAGATACTCCTTAGTCTCAGCTAAGGCAACAGAGTCACTCCCAGTCAGCAGAATATCATCAACATATACGGCTAAAATAACCAAACCAGTTGTTGTGCGTCGAAGAAAGACAGAGTGATTAGACTGACAACGTTGAAAACCAACATTAGAAATAACCTTGCTGAACTTATCAAACCAAGCTCGAGGACTCTGCTTTAACCCATAGATGGCCTTTCTCAGCCTGCAGATAAGATTCTCCCCCTGAGCAACATACCCAGGAGGTTGCTCCATATAAACCTCCTCGTCCAAATCACCATAAAGGAAAGCATTCTTCACATCTAGTTGGTGCATCGCCCAATCCATATTAACAGCCAGAGAGAAAAGAATTCTGATGGAGTTGAGACGAGCAACGGGAGAAAAGGTTTCAAAATAGTCAATACCATATGTCTGGGTATATCCTTTAGCAACCAGGCGAGCTTTATATCTATCAACAGACCCATCAGGACGATATTTCAAGGTATACACCCATCTGCAGCCAACCACAGTCGCTCCAGCAGGTAGAGAGACCAAATCCCAAGTCCCTCTAGAAAGCAGTGCATTCATCTCCTCATCCATAGCCTGTTTCCAGGCGGGTACTAACAAAGCTTCCTCATGTGACCTGGGTAAAGATATAGTGGACAATGACAAAGCAAACTGACGAAATGATGAGGTGAGACGGTCATAAGAGACAAAAAGAGAGATATGATATTTTGGGCAAGACCGTTTACCTTTACGAAGAGCAATAGGAACATCTAAGTCAGAAGAGATATGAGGCTCGACATGAGATGGACCTGCAGCTGGAGAAGAAGAGTCAGCAGGAGCAGAGACAGGTGTATGTACTTTAGGACGGCGAGAGTATGTCAGTAGAGGCTTTGGTACAGTAGCCTCAGGAGCAGATACCAGAATAGTAGTGGGAGCCGTAGAAGGTAGTGGCACCTGTGGACTAACAAAGGTAGTGGAACCAGAGGAAAAAATATGGGACAGACTCAAAAAAGGTAACATCAGCAGAAACAAAATATCTCCTGGTGGTCGGATGATAGCACCTATACCCTTTTTGAGTACGTGAGTATCCAACAAACACACACTTAATGGACCTAGGAGATAATTTATCCAAACCAGCAGTCAAATCCTGAACAAAAACGTACAACCAAAAACTCGAGGAATCACAGAAAAACGTTTTTTAACAGGATAAAGACAGTGGAATGGTATCAAACCATCAAGAACACAGGAAGGCATGCGATTAATCAAATAACAGGCAGTGAGGACAGCATCCGACCACAAGTACTTTGGAATATTCATATGTATCATCAGTGTTCTAGAAACATCGAGAATATGTCCATGCTTCCTCTCAGCAACTCCATTTTGTTGTGAAGTGTGAGAGCATGAAGTTTGATGAATAATACCATTAAGAGCACAAAATTTTGAAACGTCATTTTTCATATATTCCAAAGCATTATCAGTACGAAGAATATGAACAAAGAATATGAACAGAAGTAGAGATTCATTATAAAAGAGTTCAATAACATGCGAGACTTCAGACCTCTCTTTCAACAAATATAGCCAAGTCATGCGAGAGAAATCATCAACAAAAACAATGAAATATCGAAAACCCTTCACAGAGGGAACACGAC